GCCAATTCACCCCCCTCTTGGACATCTTGATCCTTTCAAGCTCATACCATTTATATTTTTGCCTTGAGCCTTTTGTTTTTCTCTTTCTTCTTTTCAAGTCGAAACACTTGATCATCACCATGGCATCACCATCATCATGTCATGATCTTCATTTGCTTCACCACTTGGAATGTGCTACCTATGTCATGATCACTTGATAAACTAAGTTAACATTTAGGGTTTTATCAATTTACCAAAACCAAACTAGAGTTTTGAATCGGGTCCACACTCCATACCCTACGCGCAGGGAAGCGTGGGAATCGCCGTGCCTGTGGATCGCACGCAGACATACCGACGCGGTCTATCTAAATGGTGACAATTTTAGCTCGCGGTCTATCTAAATGGTGACGCGGGTCACAGAGGAGAGCGTGAGCGCACCATGGGCCTCGTCACCCTTGCGGATTGGACCGGGATCCCCGCGTGGATTGGCTATCCAAAGCCCAAAGGGGCCCTGAAGATTAACTCTGATGAGGATTTTGACGTGCACTCAAGCACGGGGAGCACTCCTGACAGCCGTGGCTCTGGGCTGTAACAAGATCGTTCTCCGAGTCTCCGACTCGACAACAGCTCAGCTCACTGGTGCAGTTAACTTCAAATCGAAATGCGAGAGGTAGGCATGAATTAGTCTCTTTTCATATTGTTTGTGCTCGACCTGAGGCCAATTTGGCAGCTCATCGCTGTGCGAATATTAGGCCCACGAGTTTTAAACGAGTGTGTGAACTGGTTTAGTCACTTTCCAGACTCGCTGATACAAATCATGATTCTGATCCTGTCGAAATTTAAATAACGTTCTCGAGATTTGTCCTAAAAAAGAACTGAATATGGCTGACTCTGACGAGGACAAATCCCCCGATTCAAATTTTTTCTGCACGAGCAAAGACAAAGTGACAACTGGACAACGGGGCACTGACAGTGACACCTAATTACAGCCCATGCTACTCTTCTTCCTCCTCTTCGTTCTTCCCTGCTCCTCCTTCGTCGGCGTGTCCTCCGGCTTCGCAGCCTCCATGTCGCCGTCGCCGCCGTTGTCCTCGCCGCCGGTGCCGGGCGCGGAGTAGAGCGGCAACGCGGCCGATTCGGGGGACTTCACGTGCAGCGCCCGCACATTCCGCCACTTCCGCGGTACGCACGCCGCGGCCGCCTCCACCGCGGCCACCACGTTCTCCACGGCCTCCTCCCGCGCCATCGCGCCGTGCCCCACGCGCACGGCGCGGCAGGTCCCGCCCTCCACCCGCAGCTCCACGCGCCGCGCCGCCTCCCTCGCGGACTCCGCCCACGCCGGGTCCGACAGGTCCACGGGCGCGGTCACGCCGCGCTTGGCGCCCGCCGCCTTGCTGCTGCCGCCGGGGACCCTGAGGCGGCGGTCGACGAGGATCAGGCCGCGCCGCGTTGCGGCGGGGAGGGACCGGAGCGCGGAGGAAGGGAGCGGGTCGATGTCGTCGGGGAGGACGGCGGGGAGGCGGTCGGAGACAAGGGAGATGGAGGGGAACGGGGAGTGCGGGAGGCAGAGTTGGTGCTCGAAGCGCCGGACGGGAGCGCGCTTGAGGGTGACGATGAGGTATATGGGCTCCGGCGCCGGGGCAGGGTGCTTCTGGAGCGATCGGAGGAGCGCGGCCACCGCACGGACCGCGGCCTCGCGACGGAGGCGGCTGGTGGGGTTGGAGGGAGTGGATGCCGTTGCCATTGTTGGCACCTTGGCGGCGGCGGCTGCGGGGGTTTGGGAGATTTGAGGGGAGGGGGGTTAGGGTTTGTATCGATCCGTGCGTTCGTGTCTGGTTGAAGTGTTGGACCCGAAGTGAGTTGGGCCTGGTTGAGTCGGACCACGAAGCTGGTGGCTCGGCTTCCGCGAAAAAAGTGAGCCAGAAGGCTGGGGCTCAGCTGGGCTCGGCTCAGCTCGTAGCCTGGTACTAACGAACCGACTGGAGAAGTGCAATTAACCAATCACAGAGTGGAGAGTACTACAATTTGTCACTTCTTTTTTCTTTATTAGTACAACAGAAAAACTAATTTAGTATATTTCTCTAATTTAGGATATTCATTACTCTCTGGCTCTCTGCATCCACAAAAGAACGTAACTTTAGAGTTAAAAAAAAAAGAACGTAACTATAGAATTTGTGTCAGTTACACTAATTTAACTTTGATTAAATTTATAATGAAAAATATCAATATTGATATCTCCAACTAGATTAACTATAAAAATATATTTTGTGATTAATTTAATAATACTTATTTTGTATTATATATGTTAGTATTTTTATATAACTTTAATCAAACTTTAAATTGTTGACTCCTCGTCAATTTAAATTGTTGACTCCTCGTCAAAAAGTAAGAATTATATCTTTTGGACGGAAAGATTTTTTCTTAGTACGTACTCCGTACTGTGTTAAAACATTGGTCTATGTGGCGAATTTTGAAATGAAAGATGCTGAACTATGACATGATGGTACTATTTAATAAGGGTACGTTTGATCATTTCCTAAATTCCTATGTGGTTTAGTGCTTCCTTGTGCCAGTGGGCTGTGAGCCTAATGTCTTCAGGAAAATACCGTGAAGTTTTGAGGGATAGTCAGGGAGTAGTGTCTAGGCTGGCCGGGCATGGAAGAACAAACCTGATCCTGACACAATTAACCCTGCACGAGAGAACGAAATTACACTGCGTTATTGCAGAGTGGCCATAATAATCCGACGAGGAGGGAAGTCTGCACACATTCTGGCTTCTGCAAACGTCGATGCAAGTGCTGATTGTTAAGGCTATTAATTTTCATAGGCACTGCATATAAAAACCACGGTTCCAATAAATAATTTTTACAGAATATTTTTTTATCCAATCACATATATTCTCTCTTCATTCTTTACCGATCGCATTCCTTCGTGCATTGGTTCTCGTGTAGACATGGTTTAGGGCAGTCCCAATAAAAAAAATTAGTAGTTTCTATAACATAGGATATCGCAGAAAAAAAGTACTGCTTTCCAACCCATGGTTTCTATAAGTAATAATTATTTTCTCTTTCTCTCTCCCAACTCTATCTTCTTCCTCCAATGGGAGTGCGACACGAACTCCCTAGAAACTGGTGGTTTCTCCCCAATGGCGATTTCATGGTTTCTTGGTGCATTTGGTCAAGAGTAGACTTGATTTCTTCACGAGGAAACCATTTCTATGATTTTTGCTCTCTTTCTTCATTAATTACGTTGTCATGTCAGCGTTTTGCCTACGTAGCAAGTCATTTAATGAGGATAGAAACCATCATCAATATACCATTGGGACTGCCCTTATAACTTAGACGTGGTTTCTATGATTTTTGCTCTCTCTCTCTCTTCAATAACTACCTTGCCACATCAGCAAAACGCTTAGTAGATGACAGTACAATTAATGTCCATAAAAACTATGGTGGTTTCTACATTGGGAGTGCCCTAATATCTTCGCCTTTGTGCGTCTTCAGAGTGGTCAGTTTGATTGTCTATACCACGCAGAGCTGGTGGTTAGTAATTGGAATCAGGTTGATTAGCACGCGAACTCGTGAAATCTTTTGTTCTGATTTCTCACCCTTCTTTCAGATTAGCGTAGTGGCTTTATTCGTCCTACTGTTTCTCATACACGCTAGGATTTCTCGCAGATAGAACGTGCTTGCTTGCTTGGTGTCACCAATGCTGGATTAACATTTCAGGATTCACAGACATCATGCTCAAGCCTTCCATTGTTCATGTATGCATTGCTGATTCGTGATATGTGCTATTCATTGCTGTAATTTTGAGAATCATTCAGAAAGGGGCACAAAGAAAAATCCTTTGCCCCCTTGTTCACCTTTTTAATTAGACTGGATCTAACTGGGCCTAAAGTGAGCTCAAGAGGGACAAGAGAACTCCCAAGTCCCGACCATTAACTTGTGCAACTCAAACTGGACCCCAAGCGTCGAGCTTGTGCATGTATGCATCAATTTTATCTCTTTATGCACCTGGTGCTCCTATGGACGCGGGGGCGGATCTACGGGCGGGGGAGGGGGGTACAGCTGGTGCATCAATAAAAATATGGGGAGGGTGAGGGAGAAGAAGAGGTGAAGGAAAGAAAAAAAATGGAGAGAGGAAGAAGAAGAGATCAGCCCCCCTTCAATCCTGTTCTGTATCCGCCACTGTATGGACGGAGTCATTTTGCATCGTAGGCGACAAAATAATTAGTTCACCAAGTTTACTTTCTTTTGGCAGTTTGAAAAATCGGACTGACCCATAAGCGATTTGTAGTTGTAGGATCAGAATATAATGTATAGTATAGGACAAAATTTATAGAATCCTTACGAAATTTGAACATAAAGCTTGTTAAAAAAACCAAAATGTACGCTATGCCTCAAATTATTTTGATTGTCACGGAGTATCTAACGTGACGTGGTAGACTTAGATGCTTCAATTTTTGTGGATTCTGCACATTTTCTTGTGAAGCATCCCAAGACCTAACTTGGTCAGGATCTATCATCTAGTATCCTTTTTATAGCTGAGCTTAACATGATGAAGCTGCTCTATCTAGTATAATTATTTGCCGTTCGTGCTTTCTTGTTTTTAAAATCGAAGAACGCAACTGCTAAGTTGAGCCATTTCCTACATTAGAAACCCTTGAGAACAACCAGTTTGACCCGGTCTTGCTGCAAGACAAGCCTTCCAATAATTTGCTCAACGCTGCTATCCTGGCCCATGCTCTCTCGAAACAAGGAGGTCCACACAAAGCTCAAACCACACACGTGCGTATCGTCAGCTCGCCATGCATATCGTCGTGAACCTGCTGCTATAAAAGGCAGGTCCTCAACACGTACCATCTCTTCACAAATTTGCAGGCAGGTGGTCTGCGGCGTCTCGCTATCCACCACCGCCGCTCCAATTTCTCCTCGATCATCTTCTGCTCCCCCCGCAAAGGGGCAGAGAAATCTAACCCATTTCTGCGGTTAGTGACGGAAGATCAGGGAGATCCGAGCGAGATGGGTCGTCCCACCGGCTCTGCCGCCATCCTCTTCTGCTGCATCTGCGTCGTCGCATTGTCGTCGTCCATGGCCGTCGTCGGGTCCGCCGCCCCGGAGGAAACCCCAAGTTTATCTCAAGTACTGTTGCTCACCGTGGAAATTTAACCCATTTTGACCCTCGTGCATGAGTTGACGTGTGCGTCCCCCTCTTTTTCTCTGATGATTCGCCTTCAGTGGGCGCCCTTGAGTGCTCCGATAACATAACGAAGACAACGCCAGCGCGCAAGCTGGGCGCTGTTGAAGGCAACGGTACGTGTCTCTAAACCAAACGCAGCTTGATTCTTCCGCGTCACGTGTGCCAATGGAGCCAAATTGATCTGAACCACACGCGTCGACGATGATCGGCGCGTGCGGATTGCGATGGTGCAGGGGTGTGTCCCGTGCGGTTCGACCACGCGCGCGGGATCAGCGCGGTGGCCGGCAGCTGCAGGGACCGGCCGGTGCCGTCGGCGGAGCGGTGCTGCGGGGCGTTGAAGACCTTTGCGTGCCCCTACAGCGAGCTCATCAACGACAACGACCACAACGGGTGCGCCAGCGACATGTTCTACCAGATCATCGTCCGCGGCAGGCTGCGGCCGGGCCTCTTCTCGCAGCTGTGCGTCGAAGGCCCGCTGGGCCTCCAGTGCTGATCAAGTGGAATGCGTGTGTGCGTGCCAGCTCGCTACTGCTGCTGGCGGCTGCGTGCGGCGTGCCCGACCCACCCGGCCGGTATATATCTCCTGCAACAAAAAATAAATAAAAAATAAAAGTAAGACTAATTTTTAGTGCGACTTTTTTTTTTGCGATTCCTCCCTTCCGGCCATGCGATACCCCGCGCGATAGAAAAAGAAACTGCTATCCTGCGATCCCCACCTACTTTAAAGGAAACAAATCGATCACCTGAGGCCACATACATGGAAGGAAACAATAATCATACATGAAAGAAAACAATTGGCAAAGATAAAGCAAGACTCCTCCCTTCCGGCCATGCGATACCTCGCGCGATAGAAAAAGAAAATGTTATCCCTGCGATCCCCGCCTGCGTTGAAGGAAACAAATCGATCACCTACGGTCACATGCATGGAAGGAAACAATAATCACGCATGGAAGGAAATAATTGGCAAAGATCAAGCAAGACGACTCAATGAGGTTGGCCCTTAATTTTAGTGTTTCCAGCATGCATACCTAAAATTAAAAAGTGGCTGCTACTTGAGAATATCAGTGGTGCCAAATAAAAGATGTGTAGGTTATACATGGTGAGACTGGTAAACCTTCTGTAATTTTCTAAATAAATATTCCCACTATTTATATATAGATCCATTCCCATGTGTTTCTTCGTGCTCCAATTAGCATATAATATGGAAGTATTGTTGTGTTCATCACGACTTTCAATTGACTACTTCCATTAGCATATACTTTCTCTGCCCTAAAATATAAGTCGTTACGGAATGTGTGCAGGTCAAACTTTCTCAACTTTGACTAGGTTTGTAAAAAATACGTGCAACATTTAACAATCAATTGGTCGACTCCTGAGGCCACATGCATGTAAAAAATACCTGTATTATAATTGGTCGAAGTTAAAAAAAAAGTTGACTTCTCGGGATACGAGAATGAATTCTATTTTGGGACAGACAGAGTATATAAAAGCAGTGTTGAAAATATTTTCACAATCAAGTTCGTTTCTGTCTGATTGGTGAGCTTAGACATTATAATGGGATCAAAAATTTCGACTCTCATGGACACCCTCATGAATCAGTGCAAAGCATCCCAATCCAACAGCATACACAAATGACAACCTTAAAGACCGTCTTAGACGTTCTGGTATTATAGTATATATGTGCAGACACATAGACATGGTGGTGCAAGTGCGCAGCCAGCAGGAGTCGAGAGTTAGAGGGTGTTTAGATCTCAGGACTAGACTTTAGTCCCTGTCATATTAAATTATTAGATATCAATTAGGATGATTAAACATAAGCTAATTATAAAACTAATTAGATAAGTTGTGGCTAATTCGCTTTCCAGCGCCGTGTACATGATGGTATGGAGATGTGGTGGAATTTATTCGTGGATTTGTTGGCGCACGAAAGAAATGGATATCGGAAATCTCTTCCTGCCGGTATAAAAAATGATCTTAGCCGCATCACGGAAAGATCTACACAGTAGAGTTTGTGAGCTTGCGACGCCGTGCTCTCTATGACTGTTTAAATTTCACGAACTTAGCTTTTTGGATTAAATGTCACTTTAACGTTGGCCATATACTTTTACAGTATTATTATCTTATCGTACGATCCGTGTGTTTTTAGTACAAAAATTTAGCTGTCCAGTAGCAACGCACGGGCACAAACCTATTTACATATATACTCGAACATGTGTGTACATGATTATATGGAGATGCAGTAGAATTTATTCATGAATTTATTTGCGCATGAAAGAAATAGATATCGTAGAATTCTTTCTGCCGATATAAAATATTATTTTAGCCGTATCACGAAAAAGTCTATACAGTAGAGTTTGTGAGTCTGCGACGTTGCGCTCTCCATGACTGTGTTAATTTCACGAACTTTGCTTTTTGAATTAAATGTCACTTTGACGTCGGTATTAAATTTAACAGTATTGTTATCTTATCGTGCGATCCGTGTATTTTTAGTATAAAAGATTTAGTTATCCCGTAGCAACGTACGGACACGCTACCTAGTCTAGGTAATATAATTAATTATTACCTAAGATAAGACGATGATGCTCGGCACTGCGTGCCATTGATTTGATGCATGTATGCGGTTTTAATTTGTAAAATCGGGGGATTCAATAAAAAATATTGTACATCGGAGTCGATCGATACCAAGGGACACTCTGTATCATTTTCCCCTTGTAATGTAATTGCACATGTATTTTGTTGTCTAGAAAAGAAAAACCTTAGAATATAAGAGGATGTTTCTCATTGGGAAAAAATGTTGTTTGGACACTGTATCATGTTTCATGAGCTTGGGTAGACAAAATTAGCGATGTGTTGGCCTCTATTTTTGAATTGAACCTGAAATCGCCAAATCGGTGCTCATAGGATCATACTAGATACATCAAACATCAAATTGGAGCACAAAACACTACTTATTTCTGTTAAAGATCAAACTGCAGCAACAAGAAATGAATGTTAGTATTGATCTCATCCGACTCAGTCCAACGACTGAGTCAGACCCCTTTACCGCGTCCTAATCGGGGACACACAACCGACCACTGGTCGGCGGGCCCCTGTCACACAGCACTATAAGAGAGGTAGGGACTGAGGCGCTAGACACGAGCCACTGACCCACTGAAGTAACCCTAGAAGGCCCTCCGATCATGGGCAGCGCTGCAAGTGACGGGAAGCCCCGCCGGTAGCGCCCCATCCTCTGGACTCTACCGCGCTCCATCCTCTAGACTCTACGGTGCCTTCTCCTCTATCTCCTCTGCCAACCCCGAAGGTATGGGTCTCTCTATCTTTCTCTGTCTCCCTCTCCCAATTCATGTTCAAGATTGTTTTTTGAATCAACTAGTGTCGGATCCACCCTCTAATCTACACCTAGATCATCCTAAGAAACTATCAATGGTATTAGAGCCATCGATCTAGTGTGCAGATAGTGTCAGGGGTAGCAGTGTAGAAGTAGATGAGAGATCCGATTTGGATCTAAGCAAAGGGTTCGATGTGAACCCTAACCCTAATCGGATGAAGAAAATAGCGAAGAAGGGGGTCTCGGTTTTGAGAACAACTCGAACCCTAACCCTAACCCGCAAAGACAGACATGGAAGATGAATAGTAGGGCTAACCCTAACCCTAACCCTAAATCGGACTTGCTCTGGGAAGAAGAGAAAAGAAGATCCAAACAGAGAGAAGACGAAGGGGAAAGGGGAAGGGCTAGGGAGGCGGCCTACCTTGCCGGCCTCCACTCACCGTTCACTCCGGGAAGGACCTCCGCTCCTCTGCACCACGGCCGTGCTAGGGCGCCGTGGCGCGCTCACCCGCTAGGGAGGGAGCACGCTGGTGAGGGGGCCAGCGACGGCGCACCTTCTCTCTTGGCTCCGGGGCTCTCTACGCTCGCTCGGTCGGTGGCTGCCGCTAAGAGAGAGAAAGGGGAGAGACAGAATGGACTTAGGGTTAGGGGAGTGGAGCCGCGTGGAGTCAAGAGCCCCGTCCTCCAGACCACTCGACGGCGGCACGCTCAGCTTCGGGCGAGCGAGCTCACCGGTGAGGGGACCGGCGGCGGCACTACTCTGTTGTGCCTCTCGCTCTCCGCCGCGCCACTGAGGAAAGAAGAGAGGAAGCAAAGATGGAAATGATCCTAGGGTTTCCACGCGATCGGGCGCGGCGGGGTTTTTTATGCGAGCGATAATGACGGGAGACCGTCTGATCTAATCGAACAGCTCTGAGCGATCGGGCCAGCTTTTGGCCCAGGCAGGCGCGGACGCTAGGCCACTTTCCCGGCCTAGGCCCAGGTTGCGGCTTGAGCGCGGGAAAGAGCGCGCGCGGCCGTGGGCCGCGAGCCATTTTTTGCCGCTGGCCCGAGCAAAAGTAAAGAAATGAGTCCATTTCTATTTTTCTTTTTCCAGTAAATGTTTATTTCCTAGAAAATGATTAATGGTTCAAAGAAAATTAGTAAAGAGAATTTTTCTGTGGGTAAAATTTACCAATTATGTTTAAGTTTCCGCTGCAAAGTTTAAAGTTTATTATCTTATAATTAAATTCGAACCAACGGGAGAATTTAATTTGAAGAGCAGTTATATTTAGTAAATCATGATTATGCTTATCCTCTAATTAAATTAGAACCAACGGAAAAATCTAATTAGAGAAGTAGTGCATTTTTTGTTTAAGTATGATTATGGTATTGTCACTTTCTGACCAACGTTGATGATGATAATATTATAATGAATTTAAGTTTGAAGTTTAAATCTCTCATAAATTTTACACCAACATGGTCAATTTTTCAGAGAGTAGATAAGGACAAAAAATGTTCCTAAACTAAAAGAATGTATTTCATTATCAAGTTTCCGCTGCAATGATGTTGATTATCTTCTAATTAAATTTGAGTCAACGGAAGAATTTAATTTTAAAGAGTAGTTATACAGATTTTAAGTTAATTTATGAGTTTTATGCATTAATTCTATTTTCTGCCCAATGGTGATATAGAATTGATGTAGAAGCATATTGTATGTTTTATTTTTTAACCGACGAGATCACTCGGCTGCATCCCAATGGGCTACAATGCTGAGGTATGTGAATGAAAAGGCTTGAGTCAAGCCAGTTCAGGATAGTTTTTTTGTTAGTTTACTAATTTTCTGATTAAATTGTAACCAACGGGAAGATTTAATTGGGAAATGAAGTACAAGTGAATGTTTTAGTCGTCATGACTAAGTTTTCGTATAGATTTATCACGCATGGGGAGAAGTTTTAGCATAGTACTTATGCTAGTCAATCATGCATGCACGGGAGAAGTTTTGTGATGATTCACATGTTTTGTATTCCGCATAGCGAGAGAAGTTTGGGTAGCTCTTATGCTGTCCTAGTATTAACCGTGGCACAATAGAAATACATCGTCATGGTTAATACTAACTTAAAGATAAGAAAAGATACAAGCGTGACTTGCAAAAGTACTGCTAATGAAATACCTCGTTGAGTTCT